GGGGGGGGGGGGGTGTCTTGTGTGGAGGGAGTGTCAGTTGCTGTTTGTGGCTCGCGTGTCCGCGCCGAGCCGGCCGTGCCCAAAATACCCGAACAGCAGCAATGTGTCGTGTGGTTGGGCTATCCTTTGTTTTGGCGACACGGGGAGCTGGCGTTCGTTGAGTGTGTAGCGCGGGAGGATGTACGTGAGCAAAAGCAGCGGCGGGCGGCGGGGGAAGCTATGGCCGTAGGTATGCTGCTTGTAGGAATAGGGACGAGAGGCGCTCGTGGGTTTCGCGGGCTTGATAGCCAAGCGGAGCGGAGTATAGAGGACCGACGATTGCCATTCCCCGACGGCGCACGCCACGCAGATAGAATTTGATGCCGTCGATGGACACCGGTGTGTGCCTTGACGTCTCTACACGTCTGGTGGGACTTAAACTGTCGACGATGGTTTTTTTCTGTGTATAGTAGGGGCGCGGAAGGAAGGGCGGGGGGATGGTGCGCGGCCCACACAGCGGCGTCTGCTGCAAGCAGTGAGATGGGAAACGCTTTTCCTTGCCTTCGTGCCGCACGTGAGCGTTCATTTGAGTGTTCCGTTATGCATACGACAAAACTTGTTTTACCAGCTGTACTAGCGGTGACCACCCCGCAGGTGCGCGAGGAAAACAAAGAGAGTCTTCTCCCGGTGTTTGTTGCGTTTTTTTTTTGTTGTTGCTTTCTGGTGGGGTTCTCCTCCTGTAGACCATATTTTTGTTTGCTTTAGCCCGCTGCTTAGCGCTGGGCTCTGCTCTCCTTTACGAGGAGCCTCTGGCCGTTTCGTATCTCCGTATTCCGCTCCTTTCAGTATCATTTATTCTTTTTGTACATCCACTTTTAGGGAGCCGTGAGCTTGTGACCACGGAAGTTTCTTGCGCCGTGGAGAGCCGCGCGGAATAGGGAGTGCAAAGGACGGCGGAGACAGGTTGTCGTGTCGAAGAACAGCAACAGGCGCATGGCGCACCCTTCTTGATGTCGGTCTGTTGGGCACGAGCAATTAATGGCGTGGTAGAATTTAATTCATTTCTAGCTTGTGTGTTTGTTATTTTAAATAGCATGGCTCTTGAATGTACAAAACGGTAGCAGCGGCGGCTCGACCGGGGTGAAACCGTCCACACGCGAACCGCGTCGTCCGTCAAGAAAAAAGAAGCAGGGTATGCATACATCTGTATCGGCAAAGATTCGCCTACTCGAACGGGGGTGATGGGGGGGGTTGCATGGTGTAAAACTGCAAGTGCTTACAGGCCTCCTGGGACTCGTCGCTTGTGGATGCACCGCACGGCGCTCTTTGCTCTCTTATTTTTTTTGTCTTGTGTTTTTCGACTTCCTCTCGAAGTGGGTTGCTTTTTTTCTTTTGTTTTTCTTCTTATTTTTGATGTCTCCCTTCGTATGTTACTCTTCGGGGGTACATGTATTAGTCTAAGTGGTGTGCGACGACGTGCCCCTTTGCTCTTTCCAGAAGACACGAAACGTCGTGAGGAAGCAACGAGTACGGCGACCGGGGCTGCTTGATGTTGTAGGACGTTCGTGCAAGGGCGAACAGCTTGACGTAAATAGATGGTACATCTATCTCTCTTCTCTCTTTGTTTGTCGTTGACTTGACCGGGGCCACGGGCAGGAAGAGGGGATGCGACGACATCCTCCACGAACGATGGATGTCTTTCAGGGGGGGAATCGTTGATGCGTCTCCGACGGCGGTAAAAGTAGGAGGGCGTGACGTGTATAAATAGCTTTGTCGCCCCACGCTCAGACGGAGAGGATCAGTGAGCTCTTTTTTTTTGTGATTTTTTTAGGCTTACGGCTTGCCCTACCGTGGTTTACTTGTTTTCCTGAGGACTTTAATCTCTCGGGACTACTCGTATTTCGTCTTTCGCGAAACGGCAGGACCTGCCAGGGGGTCTTTTTACTTTTTTGTTTGAATTGTATACCTTATCTTAGGTTAGCTTGTGTGGCAACGAACCTTCAATGCGCTTGTTTCTTTGCCTACGGATAAGAAACGAGTACGGGAAGAGGAGAGGGGGGGAGGTACTGGAAGTGGTTGTTGCATAGAAGGATAATATATTATGAGGTTTTTTCGATGTGAAGACAACTACATGGCTCAAGAGGCCCGAGAGTGGTGACGGGTTTTACCACGGAAGCTCTGTGGGGTGTGGGGTGGTTCTTGCGAGACTCTCTCCGTCCATCTTACAGTGCATTACCGTCGCCACGTTTGGGTCGGGGCTCAAGTTTTTTGGGCCGAGAGACCCGCCGAAAAAGTTTCGAAAGAGAGGATGTGTGGGAACCTCATGCTACTCTTTCCTTCCTTGCGTTACAAAAGTTCATTTTCTTACTATTATCCGTCGGATGTTGCTTCCGTCACACGTAAAATTTAGCTTTGCACTATTATAATATTGTTGGACCACTATGAAGAAGGTCAGTCGTATATTCATTCCCTCCTCGAAACATCGGCGTCCACGCCCGATAACTCCGTCGGTCACCATTCGTTGTCGCCAACAGACCCAGCGAGCGGCGGAACTCCCGGCTTTTCGCACATGGCCACATAAAAGCATGCCGAGCTTTTCTTGAGGTCGTACACACTCCTCCCTTCCCTCGGATCCCGCTCGGTCCCTTTGACGGTGTGGCTGTTACCCCGGCCCTGTCTCTCGTGCCGGCGGCCCCATCGTCCGGTCGTTGGACGAGCAACTACTCAACTTCCGAGGGAGCCTCGTTCGACGGGGGGGCGGGGCGTAAGTGGGCACCTCCATCATGTATCCGCGGGGCAGGGCGTGTGGGAGCGAACCGGGCGAAGACAGCGGCGACAGAAACGATGACATGATCTCTCTCTGTCGGCCGATAGAGGCTACGCCTCGTGTCGAACCTCTATCTACCAGAATCAATAGTTGAGACTTACTGGAAAGTACCAGCAGATTTTTTTCAGCGGAACATTAGATGAAGTGACACCGGCAAAAGCGACGGCAATAATAGAAGTTGAAGGGGCCGACACGGAGGGGGCGAGAGTCAGACGAGGATTGACTCGAAAGCAACGAACCTGAACGCAAAAACGGGTGCAACCTGTGTCAGGAACGAGATAGTGCGCTCTTCTTCTGCAAACAAAAGAGCACGCGTTGGGGACTCCGGTGGTCGGCAAGCAAGCCCAGACCGTATATATATGTAGGTCTCGATAGAACCGACGACCTACTACTCGATGTTCGTGGCTGACGAGGTGGGCATGTGCGACGGAGGAGAAGAAGACGCGCGTGATTTGGAAATGAAATTTAGTGCCGACCCTCTCCGACTGCGTACTCTTATTATCCCCGGCATCGTTACGCCCGGTACGGGGTCGTTGGACCCCACTATGTAGATACAGCGTAATCACCGGCCGTGGTTTTACTCCCGAGGCGCCGGCAACACATCCACGGTCTCTCCTTGGTCACTTTGGCCACCTCTTTGGCGCCCATCGATGTCACCTGGCTAGCTGGAAAACGATCCTCCTCACCTTTCTTCTAGACCAGCGGTGCTCTGCTGCCGACTACACCTACGTGGGGATGGACGTGAGCACTGCTGTGCGCGTAAATAGTAGGTGCAGGGTAACGCAAACGAGCGGCACCGCGGCTGGCTATGAAACAACATACAGTAATACACGGTCCACTTTGTTGGTGTCATAACGGTTTCCGAAGCGAGGTGTATTATTCATTCATCCAAGGCGACCACAGAGAATGGTGCTGTCACATTGACGTTGTTGTTCTTGTTTACATAGAGGATAAATCGTCCTCGGAAAAAGGAGTGGCAGTGAACTGACTGGTTGCGGGACCGGACAGAATGACACCAGACTTGACCAGACATTGTCCTACTGTTGTTACAGAGCACTTACAGTACTGCGAAAACAGCATTGTCAGCGAAGAAGAAGAATAACGGGAATTGAACCAAGTAGTAGCTGCTACGGGGTCTCATCGCTGAAGCCGGAAGCAATCGTTATCATTATTACTAT